TATAAAAAACCAATCACTAACTTTATATGGAAAGGAAAGAGACCTTGCATAAGCAAAGCACTATTGAAGAAGAGGAACAAAGTAGGAGGTATCAAACTGTTGGATCTCAAAACCTACTATAAAGCCACAGTAGTCAAAACTGCCTGGTATTGGTACAATGACAGACACATAAATCCATGGAATACAACTGAGAACCCAGAAATAGGTCCATCAACCTATGGTCAGCTGATCTTTGACAAAGGGTCAAAATCCATTAAATAGGGAAGAGAATATTTGTTTAATAAATGGTGCTGGCAAAATTGGATATCCATTTGCAGAAAAATGAAACAAGATCTGTACCTCAGACCATACACAAAAACTAACTCCAGACGGATCAAAGACTTAAGGTGAAACTTAAAACTATACAGTTCCTCAAGGAAAAACTAGGGGCAAATTTAGGGGCCCTCATATATGGCATGGGAGCTCTGGTAGCATAGTGCCTAAGGCACTTGACTGCTAACCAGAAGGCTGGCGGTTCAAACCCACCAGCCACTCCTCGGAAGGAAGATGGAGCAATCTACTTCTGTATTGATACTGCCATGGAAACCCAAGGAGGGGTCACTATGAGTCAGGGCCAACTCGACAGCACATAACAACGACAAATATATGGCATAAACAGACTATCAAGCATAACCCAAAATGCACAAATGGTAGAAGAGAAAGTAGATGAATGGGACCTTCTAAAAATTATTTTTTATGTGCTTCCAAAGACTTCTCCAAAAGAGAACCTACAGATTGGGAAAAAAAATCCAGCAATGACATCTGACAAGGAACTTATCTCAAGAATTTATAGAAAACTCCAACACCTCAAGAACAAAAAGACAATGTAATTAAAAAATGGGCAGAAGATATGAACAGACACTTCACCAAAGAGGATATTCAGGCAGCCAACAAACATGACGAAATGCTCATGATCATTAGTCATCAAAACAACAATGAGATACCATCTTGCCCCAGCACTAGTAGCAAAGTTCAAAAGAATGTTGTTGTTGTTACATGCTGTCGAGTCAGACCTGACTCTACCTGACTCTAGCCATCCCTCCTTGGGTTTCTTAGGCAGTATCACTATGAAAGTAGATTGCCCAACCTTCCTTCTGAGGAGTGGCTAACCTGAATCACCAGCTTTCTGGTTAGCAGTCAAGTGCCTAAGACACTATGCTACCAAGATAAAAAATAATAAATGCTGGCAAGGATGTGAAGAGATTGGGACTCTCATACACTGCTGGTGGGACTGTAAAATGATACAACCACTGTGGAAAGCAGTATGGCAATTCGTTAAAAAGTTGGAATTAGAAATACCATTTGACCCAGCCATTGCATTGCTAGATACATATCCTAAAGTGAGAACCAGGACAAGAACAGACATATACACATCCATGTTCATCACAGCACTATTTACAACAGCCAAAAGATAGAAACAACCTAGGTGTCCATTAACTGAGGAATGGATATCCAAACTATGGTATACACATACAATGGAGTATTATGCAACCCTAAAGAATAATGTAGAATCTGCAAAACACTGCGTAACATGGATGAACTTGGAGGACATTATGCTGAGTGAAATAAGTCAATCACAAAAGGACAAATATTGTATTAGTCCATTATTGTAAAAGTCA